ATTATAAAAAAAATCTATTACAAATAAATGCTGTTCTTTCTCTATTCAGCACAACAGTTTTCAACTGTGATAGTAATAAATGTTTCTTGAGCAGTAAATCAGCATATTATTATGATTTCTGAAGGATCATGTGACACTGAAGACTGGAGTAATGATGCTGAAAATTCAGCTTTGCCATCACAGGAATAAATTACATTTTAAAATATATTATATATATTTATAAAATAATATATAAAAAATATTGCTGTTTTTACTATATTTTTGATCAAATAACAGTTATTTTAAATTGTAATGTATAAAATAATATATAAATATTGCTTTTTACTATATTTTTGATCAAATAAATGCAGCCTTGTTGAACAAAAGAGACTCCTTTCAAAGACAGATCCCAAACTTTTGAACAGTATAGTGTAGTGTATGCATTTTAACAACCCTCAGAACTCTAATATTAGGTTTTGGCATGTAACTCGCACCCCTTTGTGCACATTTTTTCTTACACTCAAGTTTCCCCTGTTATATTGTGCAGTCATTTAAACAAAACAGTATTTTGGAGAAGGTTAAATATCTAACGTCCCTTTTCTGGCGTCTGATTGCTCTGTTTGTGCCCCAGTTCTCTCTCAGGCTTTGACGTACGTGACATGCGTTGCCTGAAAGCTCAGTTTCTCTTAGCATGGCATAAAGTTAAGGCTTGTCAACTGCTTCAGACTTCAAAGTCGAGAAAACACTTTCTCACTCTCATTCACACATATAGAGGATGCTTCAGAGGATGTGCCTTAAATATGTTAAACGCCTCATGCTAATACAGAAGGCATCAGCCGTTTGATTCTGCGTGACCTCATGCTGACACGTTATCAGCACACAGGAGCTCTTTCCTGATTCGAGGCATAATGGGAGCACGTCACCTGTCTGCTCCGACCGTCACCTAACAAAGTTGACATTGTTTGCATAGTGTTAAATTCAACGTCTTTTATATCAACAGAAATAATTCAATATTATGTGAACTTGGATATTGAATCCTTCATGTTATCAAAAGTAATGTTTTGCCAGTTGGAAGTATTAACACAATTCCATGTTGTATGTCACATGATAGAACTGTGTCCAATTATCTAAGCTTCATACATATTTTGTTGAATATCTTACAGCAAGTGAATTGAAACTCTATATTGTTGAGCTTAGGCAAGGTTCCTGCACTGCTGCATGTGATAAAACAGTCCTGTCACATAACGCACTTATCAGTGTACTGGCACATGCAGGAAGTCATGCTGCTGAGAGACACACTGGAACAATTAAACATCCAGTGCTGATTCATCTGATGCTGCCTTCACTTCCTGTCAGGGCACAGCTGTTGTTGAGGATCTTTCAAGGCGAAACAGATGAGTTTGTCAAGAACTTTGCTTATTAAAGGGTTAGTTCACCCAAAAATGAAAATTAGACTGTGTTTTACTCACCCTCGAAGCTGTAAGTAAAACACAAGCTAATTTTAATTTTTGGGTGAACTAACACTTTAAAGTCTTTTTTAAAAATGTTATTATCTTACCCGACTCTAGGGTACAAAATATGGCCTGAAAGTCATTTTTTTTCCCCCTCTTTCAATGAATGGTCAATAAATATAGGCATTTAAGCAGACTTTTAATAAAACAAAATAGCTGATTTTCATGTTAGGGTAATATTTTGTATATAATAGCTTATCAAGCTAAAATGGTCTAAAACTCATCTTAAACCAGGCAACACCCTTTTGCAACTTCCCTCCTGTGACCAGAACTGTAATCATAATGCAACTTCTGTGCAGTTCACAGTCATCTGAGTGACATCACAGCAGAAGCTGCTTGTTTGCATCAGTGCGTTTCTATGGGTTTGAGGTGTCGTCCGAACATGTCATGTCAAATGAGCACCTCCCGTATGTGCAGAGCCGTTTCTCTTGTCATTGTGTAATTAGCATAAAAAAAAAAGTGGTTTAACAGCTTTTATTGTTTAAGGGCATAATTGTGATCGCTTATGGTTCACTCCTTCCAGGATTTGATTCAGCAACTTTCTGGTTACCAGCCCTTTAACCACTTCTATTTTACACTCTGAAATTCCTGTTTTACAACCCTGGTTGCAGTTATTCAGACTCGGTTTAATGGTTAGTAAAGTCTAAAAACTCATGCATGTAATTGTTAAAATGTGCTCAAGCAACGTATTGAAAGCCTGGTGGTAAAATATGTACAGAATATTCAATAATAATTATTCTTTTGGCTATATAGTTGTGGTCAATATTTTACATACACTTTGCAGTATCTGCAAAACGTTAATTGTTTTACCAAAATAATACGGGATCATGCAAAATGCATGTTATTTTTTATTTAGTACTGACCTGAATAAGACGTTTACATATAGTCTACAAGAGAAAATCGTAGTTGAATGTATAAAAATGACCTCGTTGAAAAGTTTACATACGCTTGATTCTTAACACTGTGTTGTTACCTTGATGATCCACAGCTGTTTTTTGTTTTGTGATAGTTGTTCATGAGTCCCTTGTTTGTCCTGAACAGTTAAACTGCCTGCAAAGTGAGAGAAAAGTGTTTATTACGTTTGAAATATGGATATTTTTCTTACAAAAACTCGTGGATTCGCTACAGGAGGCCTTTATTCATCCCTTGGAGCCGTGTGAGGCATGTTTTATTATGGATGCGCACGCTTTATTTGACGACTTGTGGACTGTTCAACTGCAACACCCGCTGACTGCAATGATAGAGCTTGGAATAGCCAGGACAATTTTTAATATAACTCCGACTGGATTCGTCTGAAAGAAGAAAGTCATATACACCTAGGATGATTCGAGTGTAAGTAAAACACAAGCTACTTTTAATTTTTGGGTGAACTAACACTTTAAAGTCTTTTTTAAAAATGTTTTTATCTTACCCGACTCTAGGGTACAAAATATGGCCTGAAAGTCATTTTTTTCCCCCTCTTTCAATGAATGGTCAATAAATATAGGCATTTAAGCAGACTTTTAATAAAACAAAATAGCTGATTTTCATGTTAGGGTAATATTTTGTATATAATAGCTTATCAAGCTAAAATGGTCTAAAACTCATCTTAAACCAGGCAACACCCTTTTGCAACTTCCCTCCTGTGACCAGAACTGTAATCATAATGCAACTTCTGTGCAGTTCACAGTCATCTGAGTGACATCACAGCAGAAGCTGCTTGTTTGCATCAGTGCGTTTCTATGGGTTTGAGGTGTCGTCCGAACATGTCATGTCAAATGAGCACCTCCCGTATGTGCAGAGCCGTTTCTCTTGTCATTGTGTAATTAGCATAAAAAAAAAAGTGGTTTAACAGCTTTTATTGTTTAAGGGCATAATTGTGATCGCTTATGGTTCACTCCTTCCAGGATTTGATTCAGCAACTTTCTGGTTACCAGCCCTTTAACCACTTCTATTTTACACTCTGAAATTCCTGTTTTACAACCCTGATTGCAGTTATTCAGACTCGGTTTAATGGTTAGTAAAGTCTAAAAACTCATGCATGTAATTGTTAAAATGTGCTCAAGCAACGTATTGAAAGCCTGGTGGTAAAATATGTACAGAATATTCAATAATAATTATTCTTTTGGCTATATAGTTGTGGTCAATATTTTACATACACTTTGCAGTATCTGCAAAACGTTAATTGTTTTACCAAAATAATACGGGATCATGCAAAATGCATGTTATTTTTTATTTAGTACTGACCTGAATAAGACGTTTACATATAGTCTACAAGAGAAAATCGTAGTTGAATGTATAAAAATGACCTCGTTGAAAAGTTTACATACGCTTGATTCTTAACACTGTGTTGTTACCTTGATGATCCACAGCTGTTTTTTGTTTTGTGATAGTTGTTCATGAGTCCCTTGTTTGTCCTGAACAGTTAAACTGCCTGCTGCTATGCTTTTCAATAGTGGACTCTATGTAAACGTCTTTTATGTGAAATATCTTATTCAGCTCAGTACTAAATAAAAAATAACATGCATTTTGTATAATCCCTCTTATTTAGGTAAAATAATTAACATTTTGCAGATACTGCAAAGTGTATGTAAAATGTTGACCACAACTGTAGGTAAATATGGCTGTTTATATATTTTATGTTGGTGCATAAAAACCATTAGGTTCTTTGTGTTCATTTAGTGCAAAACAAGACTTCGTTGATGTACTGTAGGTCTTTTTTTGCTTCTTGTTTCACTTCTGCTAAGCAACATTAACAGTCTATATTATGATCTCTCTCTGAAAAAAAAGAAGCTTTTTAAGCCATTTCAGAGAAAATAAATATTACAGACAAAATTGAGTTTATTCTCTGACGTAAATATGTGCTTTGTAATGGTGCTAAATGTTATAGAGGCGTAGGCAGACGGCAGGAATCGTTCGCGAATTGTCCCAGGGTGCGTTGCTATATTTAGCTCATTGGCGTATTATTTAGCAGATAGCCACAAAGTCATTTAAACACACGCCCAACATGTTATTTTTTCTGTAGCATTAGCATTGCATTACTCACTGTGTCCAGTGCTCTTTCTGTCTGCATAAACACTAAAGTAGCAGCTGCTGTTGAAGAGGCTGGTTGAAAAACAAGACGGTTAATAGTTACTGTATTGAGATTTTATAGGTTCTGAGATGTCAAGCTTCAGAAGAAAACGACAATTATATCCCAGCCTTTTACGATACTCTAATATTTTTGTTTTGCTTTGCTATGTCATATTTTATATGGCTTTTTTCCTGTTTTTTGAGTTTCAGGATTTTAATTTCTACTAGCACTCGTTCAAGACTTTTGTCCTTCTACACCGATGTTTGTTTTAGACCCTGAAGTCGTTGTTCTTCTCTAGTGTCCTTGAGACGAGACTCTCTTGGTCACTGAAGCGCGCAGTGTTCTGGTTTATACATTATACACATCACATGAAACTGTTTACACAGATTTAGGATTTCGTTTTAATTTAATTTAATCTCCAAACCATTATGTCAGGCACTGTCATATTTTATTCGTTTTTTCTGCAATTCTTAAAGTTAAGTTTGAAACAAATTTGGCTTTTATAAGGTTTTAGTGAATTTCCATTTTTCCTCTCAAACCTGACCCTAATCTGCCAATGTGTGTTTTCTGCCCCAAGTGTCAGTATTGTGGCATTCTCAAAATTGCCTTTCTAAGCCACCCACTCCATTCTCACAGCCAAACACTAATGCAAACATAGGTTTCCATGAAATGAGCCCTGCATGCAGTTAACACACCCTTGTGTCATCCTCTTATTCCTCTTCCATTTTTCATGGCTCTAAGTTTGTTGTTCCTTACAGGCATGTTAGCCCGCCAGCTCAGACATTCATTTCCTACAACATTTAGCTGGAAAACAACATGATACATCTCTCTCTGTTGCTAAGAAACAGCTTGCTGAAGGCTGCAAGTTGTATTTTGGCCTTTTTAGATTGATAGACCTATTTTATTGATGTCTAAAGGGAAAATGTGGGTTTTTAATAAAAAAAAAATTAAAAAACACTAATTCAAAACTTTTGTACCACACAGTAGATGTTTGTTTTAGAACATGAAGTCGTTGTTCTCCACTAGTGTCCCTGAGTTATGACAAGACTCGTCTCGGTCATTGAACCATAATGTGCTGTTCTGGTTTATAGCCATTGAGGAATGTCAACAGTCCCGTGAAACTATTTACTTGGACTTTGGGATCCCATAGCTTTGAGCGCACAACAACCTTGTCATTTTTGCAGTTCTGACCAATTTTGCAAAGTTTAACTACATGACGCAACATAATCTCATATCTTTTATCTCGGTTTTGCCATTAGCTTTCTTTTCTTTGATGAGGGAGGTACTTTGGGAATTGCTAAATGCTTGAAACTAAACATCCTGTGCTATTTGTTTTCATACAGATGGTTTAAATTGATGGGCAAGACGGGAAAGGCTGACAAAGACAGGGGTGAGGTGCTCATAGACATTCAGTTTATGAAGAACAACATGACGGCCAGCATGTACGACCTCTCCGGGCAGGACAAGTCACGCTCACGGCTCGGGAAGCTTAAAGATAAGCTGAAAGGGAAAAAGAAAGATGGGATGTCAGATTCTGCTTCCGCCATTGTGCCTTCAGTACTGACTGACAGCGAGGGTGAAGAAGAACCTGACTCTACACCTGGAGCCAAAAAGAAGAATAAACTCAAATCCCTTTTCAAACCCAAGCCGGGTTTGCACCGTAACATTTCCCAGTCCATGTCCACGCTCACCACCCTGCCTGAAAAAGACTCGGCCATCAGTCTGAGCAGATCGTCTGGCCTAAATGTAGAGTCTCCTGAAGGTATCGCAACATTATTTATTGCTGTAATATTTTCAGTATTAGGGATGGATGATATGTCGGCTACCATATTTATTGTTCTAGTAGATCAGTCAATACACTATGGTGCCAGCGACGCCAAAGTCCTGGGTTTGATCACCAGAGAAATCATGAACTAATAAATATATGCAAATCCCTTGCATCTTCTAAATGCAATGTAAATATTGAAATCATCTGATATTAATTATACTGGTTTAGTCTTGATTTGGCTGAAGTTTGAATCATATTTATTTATTTAAAAATTAAAACACTTAACATTTTGCCCATGACATTTGAGATGCACCAGTATTAAAATTCTGGCCGATCCCAATAAGCTGAGAATTTTCATGTTATGGCTGATAACTGATAAATGGCCGGTATTGAATTTTTTTTTACTGTTTTGTATATATATAAACTAAAAATAAAACCCTAATACTTCAAATTAATATTTAAATGCTACAAGTGAATTTTATCATCACAACATTAAAGTATAGTATGAGAAATTGATATATATTTTAAGTTTAATTTTAATATTATATATAACAGTGTTAGTAAATTATTTGTGTTTTCAAAGATTCATTTTAAACAGGGTAATTATAGTATACTTAAACCACTTAAAAAAAAACTTTTTAACAAACTTTATCTGAAATAAAATAAAATATAAATTATTTTTATATAATGAAAATATAAAAGGCCAGTTGCCAAGGCAATATTTCTCATTTTTGGATAGTTTAACTTGATGGCTGAAATAACTGATCTGAAATAAAAATAAAACTATGAAGACATATTTAAAAAGAAAAAAACTAGTGACAAAAACTCAAACAGATTTTTACCAAAACACAATTACAAAATTACTAAAACTTTAAAATAAAATAAAAACGAATTCAAAACTCTCAATGATACTAAAATAACACTGATTATAAGTTAGCATTAGATGATGATGAAGGTAGTCTATATGTAAAAATATGGAAAATGAACATGCACAATTAAATATCCCATACTGACTAATAAATTGCTAATAAACGACACAAATCTCCAGTATAATGTATACAGATAATCACTATAGTACCGATATGTTGTGCATCCCTACATAATTGAAAACATAATTAGCAGAAGGTGGGGTCTGCCCAAACTGATAAATTGGTGCAAAATATTAGTGTAGTATTATTGTAATTTCCTCTCTTTTTTTTATCTTCAAAGGCAAAAAGAAATTTAAATTTCTGAAGCACAAGCGGACTGAAAGCTCTGACAATAAGGTTTCCCAGGGCACCGGCTCTCTTGGACTGGGCATGGTGCAGAGCAACGTGTGCGTCAACGGCAGTCACGTCTACACAGAAGAACCAGAGAGTAGAGGATCCAGGGCTGGTTCCACCTTCAGCCTGAACAGCTCAGGCCACGGATCCATGGAGGACCTGCGCAGAGGTCATGACAGGAAAACTTCCAGCACCTCAATGGACTCTCTTAAAACCACCAAACTGATAAATTGGTGCAAAATATTAGTGTAGTATTATTGTAATTTCCTCTCTTTTTTTATCTTCAAAGGCAAAAAGAAATTTAAATTTCTGAAGCACAAGCGGACTGAAAGCTCTGACAATAAGGTTTCCCAGGGCACCGGCTCTCTTGGACTGGGCATGGTGCAGAGCAACGTGTGCGTCAACGGCAGTCACGTCTACACAGAAGAACCAGAGAGTAGAGGATCCAGGGCTGGTTCCACCTTCAGCCTGAACAGCTCAGGCCACGGATCCATGGAGGACCTGCGCAGAGGTCATGACAGGAAAACTTCCAGCACCTCAATGGACTCTCTTAAAACCTCTGACCTACAAACTCAAGAGAATGCAGTGGAAGAGATGCGCAGAAGACAAGAGGAACAGAGGAAACGGGAAGAGGAAGTCAGGAAAAGACTAGAGGAGGAACGGAAACGGGCTGAAGAGGAAGAGAGGAAGGAAGAGGAGAGGAAATGGTTGGAAAGAGAGGAAGAGGAGAGGAAAAGGATTGAGAGAGAGGAAGAAAGGGAAGAGGAGAGGAAGCAGATGGAGAGAGAAGAAGAGAAGAGGAAGCTAGAGAAACAGGAAGAGGAAAGGAGAAGAATTGAGGTAGAGAAGAGAGAAAGAAAAAGGATTGAGCAGGAGGAAATGATCAGATTAAAGAAGGAACAGGAAAGAAGGAAAGCTGAGGAGGAGAAAAGGAAGAGAATGGAGGAAGAGGAAAAGGCTAGGAAGGAAGAAAATAAATGGAGGAGAATGGAGGAAGAGGAGAGAACGAGACTTGAGAATGAAATGTTGCGGAGAGAAGAAGAGACAAAAATGGAAAGAAGACGTGCTGAAGAAGAGGAAAGACTACAAAAGGAAAAAGAAAAGGTAGAAGCAGAGGAAAAGAGGAAAAGGATAGAGGAAGAAGAGAGAAGACTGTCTGAGCAGAAAGAGAGAAAAGGGCAAGAAAGGTTACGTTTGGAAAAAGAGACGATGGGGCTTGAGAACAAGAAAATGGAAGAAAGGATGAGAGAGGAGCAGGTGCGAGAAAAGGCTGAGGAAGAGGAGAAGAGGAAGCTGAAAGAGAAAGCAGACCAGGAGAGAATCAGGCAAGAGAAAGTAGAAATGGAGAGACAGAAGAAAGAGGAAGAACAGCGGCCTGAGGTGAAACCCAGGAGTGCTCGACTGAATACGAGTAAAAAAGGACCTGACGAGATTAACTCGGACTACATCCCATCTGCCAGTCCCTTTGAAGACCTTCTCTCATTCGATGAGAGCTCCACCAATCCCACCGTTTCTCAACCTGAAGCCCTCAGTCGGTCCACCAAAGTCTCTGCAGTCAAGCCAAGGTCAGTGTCTTCTTACCTGAAAGCTCAGAAGTTTGTGTTTTTAAATTACATCTAGTTGGCCTTATTCATGAAGCATAAACAATTTTTTTAACGTAAATTGTTAGTGAAACCATGAAACCAATCTGCGTGTATTACATGAATTAGGCCCAAAAACACAACATGGCAACTTAATAATTTATCTGTTCTCAATGAAAGCAAAATGCTGTGTTAGGTGTTAAAATCAGCCACTCGGAACATCTTTGATATTTAATATACAGCTACGTGGATTTTGGACCATTGGGATGTCACTGTGGGTGGGGCCACTTTTCATAAAAAGTTATATATATGTTGAAGCTTGATGCATTCAACTGACTGGTCAAGGTTGCTTGTTTATATATATATATATATAAACAAGCAACCTTGACTAGTCAGTTGAATGCATTTAGCTTCAATGTACCAATCAGAACCAAAACCTTTTTCACGAAGTTTGTGGCTTGGCAGACATTTGGCTGACTCTAAAACTCTTTGCAACTCTAAGAACTCTCAACGTTCTTCATAACCCATACTTTCATCATTTCTCAGAGCTGTTTCAAATCATTCTCCAAACGTCTGCTTTTTTTTTTTACCAGTTCTGCTGGAAGGCAAATCCATGATCACAGCTTGAATACTAAAGGCATGGAAATGTCTCTCAGTGTTTCTGTAGTATGCTTAGACTAACTCAATTTCAGTGTTGTAGCGCTCATAACACCATGCTGTCATGATTACCGCCATCATGTAAGTGCATTTGGCACTATAATGAAATATGCAGTAGTCTGTGCATGTGTTGGTATGAGTACGTGTCTGTACAAGTCCAAAAAAACATCTGGCATGAAACGCAGTTCTTTTGAAACTTTCAAGGACTCGAAGTAAGGATAATTCCCATTAACTTTTTGTTTTTCTCATCAAATTTTCTGAAGATGATCATCATACCAACTAAACTGAGTAACTCTTAACCAAATGAAATACCCAAATATGAATAAAGAGTCTTTCTTACCATGGTCTTATCTGTTTATTTCTGCTGAGATACATTAATGCTGACAGTTATTTATAAGGTCTATAACCCTCATTGTGTGCGCTTGTTGTGGTACTTGATTGAGCTCTAACCCAGGGGAAACTGGAGAAATCTGTTTCCCTGGAATACAGCTGATCAGGCAGTTCCTTTTCTCTGACTCATGCACTTGAGGGCTTCATGAAACAGTTCTGGAATGTGTAGGAGACTGGAGAGCAAATAGCATGATTTGTGGGTGGCTCTTTAAATCTAAACCAGTTATCTCTTTAAGGCAACAGTTAAAGTTTTTTGCAAGTTTCTCTCAGAAATCTTTATTGCTAAAATGTAGTAAATGTCCATCAACTTATTCCAGACAGGTTGGAATGACATGAGGATGAGAAAATGATGACATAATTGAAATTTTAATGTTAACTATCCCTTTAAAAAGTTTATGGATATTGCTAACATTTGCTCAATAACACAGGAGCATGTTTTATTAAAGTAAACCGGGTCCGTTTTAATGACTTTCAGTGGTTTTCATGGTTGTTGACCAAAGCAAAGTGGCTTTAACTTGCTTGCCACTGTATTTCAATATTTAGCAGATGTGTTTGATTGAGTTTAATGTTCCCTTTCATTATCCTGCTTCTTCAGTTCTTCTGTTTCTGGAATCTTCTTTTCGCAAGCATCTATGCCAAACACCAATCCGTTCTTAGATGACTCTGATGTTGATAGTGGAAACACTGAGAAAGTTGTCCATCTCGGAGACACCGCAGAAAGGTCAGATAAGAAACGACATGCACCAATGCCTACCCAGAACAAGATGCAGATGGGAAAAACAGACATCCCTCCAAGAGCACCAGCAATTCCTGAAGGCACACAAGCTTTTCCATCTAGAGCATCTGAGGACGATGGAGACACTGATTCCTGCAGTTTACGATGGGACAAACGTTCCGCACCTTTACCACCAAAGAACAAGCAAGAAGTGCAAAACGAACATGCAGACCAATCTACCACACCTCTTCATACCGGAGAATGGAGAACTACTAGATTACAGGAAAAAGACCAGACTAATAAAGTGTGGCCAGTTTTGCAAGATGAGTCAAGGACCTCTGATGCAGTCAATTTTGGGAACACCAGTTTATCAAATCTTAGCCAGGGTCATCCCAGTAACAGACAAGAAACCAACCCTTTTATATCTATCGAGGTCAAAACAACTAAACACAGCAAGGGTCCCGCTCCAAAGCCTTTATTACAGTCAAAATGTTGCAAGACATCTGCATCTGAAACTGAACCCAACAACCTAGCAATTAGTAATGTCCATTTGACTGAACATGAAACCAGTGCTGCCTCAAACTCTTGCATTGGTCAACTAGATGAGTCGACTGACAAGCTTGATGATGATCTTGCATCTGATGAGCCTTCTACCAAACCCGAGCCTTTGCACTCTGATGACCTTTCCTCAAGAGAATTACCAGCAAATTCTAAACTAGACTCTCTTGGAGAAGACGTACCTTCAAGTTCTGATCCAGTCCTTGGAAAGGTTCTCTGCACTGTGAAGGATCCCAAGAATACTGAAAATGTCTTGCTTGAGAGTGGTGTTTTCAAAAAGAAGAGTCGGGCCCCATTGCCTTCTGCCAAATCAGCATCCGGCCAGCAACCAGAAGCTGCACTGAACTCAACTAATCAACCCACCATACAAGATCAAGACAAGTCATTAACTATTAATAGTAGCAAGTCAACTTCTTGTTTTACCGAATCCCTGGTGAACTCATCGTCAACCTCCAGTCAAGTTCTCACTCCTCTGAGAATGGAAGCAGGTCATGGGTCAGGGCACCGGTCTCTCCCGCCTGTCAGAGTGTCACCTATTGATGTTCAGCCCGTCGCTGGGCAGAAAAATGGGAGTGAAAATGAGAGAACAGGTGATCCTGCCTTCAAACCCTGCAGGTGAGGCCATGCATAGAACTTCTAGAGACCCTTAAAACTAGTAGCAGAAGTTGTTGGTAGGTTCCAGTTAGCCATCCTGTGGTAGTTCTTAAAATTTCTAAAAGTTGTAAAGTTTTAAGCAGTCTTCGTTGTAGAATCCATTGTCCAAATGTCTCCCTATTTACCAATTCTGCCGAAAGGCAAATCCATGTTCACAGCTTATATAATAAAGGCATGGAAATGTGTCTCAGTGTTTCTGTAGTATGCTGAAGCCCAAAGTATGCTACGGACACGGAAGGTGAAATCTTGAGACCGAAGAGTCCACTATGTAGTACTGTGCAAATGTCAAACTCGTTCATCCGCGGTTGAGCACACTTAGTAGCAGTAGTGAAGTAGCATGTTGCCTGTAGATTCCTGTTAGAAAAACTCTGAAGTGTTCCAGAGTAGTTGATTTTGTCAGCTACTAGTAGTTGATTTCAATCACTCATTTTCAGTGAACAGTGGTGTAAAAATGATCGGAAAACTTGATTAAACTCACCAACTTTGCTCATGAATATTAATTACATGACATGATGTCCATCTAGTTCTACAACCTCAGTGGTGTTCAATCCTGCTCCTGGAGGGCCACTGTCCTGCAGAATTTGGCTTCAACTTGCCCCTACACACCGTTTCTCAAAAGCATTGTAGGATAAAGTAAATTGTTGAAACCACTGGCACCAATGGTCAGTGTAATCTATTTGCTTTTGGGAACCACAGGTCTGGAAGTTTCTATCAATATTGGACACCTTAATTATCTGGTTGGGTGTTTTAATTGGGGTTGGAGGTAAACTCTGCAGAAAGGATTGGACACCACTGTCCTGCCTTAATTGTTACTTACTGCTTATATGATTGATTATCCACAGAACATTTTGCTTGGTTTTAAAATTGTCATTTGTTTTGGCCAAATACAATGATTATTTCCCAAAAGGTAGGGATGTATAAGTTACAGTGGTTGTTATGACACAACTTGTAACCACCAGTACATGTAACTTATTGCTTGACTGCAAGACGTGTCGTGCATATCTGTTTATGTTGTATTACACTCTGGACCCTAGATTACTCATTATTGGGACTTTCATGTGACATTCCGCATAACTGGTCTTTCTGAAAAACATGGTTTGCAATGGTTTAAACTTTGTCTTTTCAGAGTTTCTGATCATATGGATGGGGTGTTTAATTTCCCAGTGTGAACTTTATATTTTTGCATTAATTCTAAAATGGTTCTCGGATAATTGAAAACCACAGATATGAACACTTTCATCTTTGAAAATAAAGGCATCAATTTTCACATTTAACAATTCCCTCCAATGCTCTTTGAAGTCCAAAAAATCAGGGCAGAATGTATTCGTCACCCTTTTTTTTTTTACAAACGATTATATCAAAATGATGTCTTCTGGCAGAGTTCTGCGATTGATTGCTTTGTATTCCACCCCTGCAATCTCGGATCTGCCTGTAAGACTTACAGCTCTCTTTCTCTTTTCAGGCCCCATGCAGTGAAACCCCTGAGCACCACTGACAAGCAACCAGACCTCAGAGAGACCCAAGACTGTTCCAGATCTGCTAAAATTACAGATGACATGCAAGTCAAGATGAAGGTAGCGTGAGCTTTTTTTTTCTTCTCTTCTACCATTGTGTAGCCATGCTTTGAAGCAAAATATGGCTCTTTAAGATGTTGCTCCTCTCAGCTGACTTTAAGCAAGCTATTTGTGTTCAACTGTATCTTTCAGGCCCCAGAGGCTAAAGGGACGGGGCCGTACTCCCAGCTAACCCATGAAGAACTCATTAACTTGTTGGAAAAGCAAAAGCAGCAGCTTTCTCAGAAGGACGCTAAGATTGGGGAACTGGAGCTGTATATAGATGATCTTCTGGTTCGTGTCATGGAGGACAGCCCCAACATTTTAATGTCCTTGAGCTCGATGAAGAAGTCAGTTTGAGTACTTTTGTAGCAGACAGTTTTGTATTTAATGTGCACTGCAATCACAAATATGGGGTGAACAACAGTACAAGGTTGTGGGTAAATCACAGAGGCTTTCACTAAAGCCAGTAGCTATAACTGCACACACACTAGTGCGCTGAAGATAAGGGTGTATACCTGATGTCTCGCACTAAATGGTGACGACATGAATTTTTGTTATTTGGCTTACTTCAGTTTGTGACTGATGCATTCTTGTACATGTTGAAATAAATCATATGTTAAGTATTTTCTCCAAAGGTTTTTTACTATCCGTTTTTTTCCATTTGAATTGCTAATATTCTTTGATTAGTGTTATATAATATATATCAGATATAATCTATTCAATATCATCTATTCAATATTTTGGTCAAAGCGTTTGATGGATGCAACCCATGTGTTAAGTAAACAAAATAACACTACATATATTCTTGAAAAATCTTTTATATAAATTACAAAGCTGTATGATATTTTGTAGACAGATCCCTGTATTGATACATCAATTTTCTTTTCAATGGAGCACTTTAAAAGAATCAGTTCATCTATATATAATGGATATGTGATAATCTGTATGTTATGCCTTTTGTCATGTAAGCTGAAAGCTTTATTATTCTCTGCTTTTGAAATAAAGTCACAGGCATGGCTCTGCAAAGGGCAACGTCACGACATTGTGTCTGTGTGCATTTTTAAGAATACAAGCTTTTAATGATTATTTTAAAAAGCATTGAGGGAATGTTAGATGCTGTATATGCAGGCTGTCTTCACCGCACTCCTGTTTACATGCTGCTGTCCCTGTGGGATTGAGGAAGGCTTGAAAAAAAAAATTAACACATTGAAATTGACCATGGTGTCAATCATTTCTTATAACTTGGTGGTTATAGCCTCCACTGTTATACATCAGATCAGAATCAGAAGAGCTTTATTACCAAGTATGTTTACACACACACAAGGAATTTGACTTGACGACAGGAGCTTCCAGTGTAGAAGTACAAACGTAGTGCAGACATACATAGGAATAACACAGTAGGGATGTAATATAACACTAATATAATGAAAAAAAGAAACATTGAATAATGTACTATATACAGAAATAGAAGTATAGGAAAAAATTAGAGAACACACCCCTGGGGGGCGCCAGTGCTGATAGTGATGGTCCTGGATGTGAGTTTGCCCAGCCTCACTAGCTGCTGCCTGTCTGTCAGGAAGCTGGTGATCCACTGACAGATGGAGGTGGGCACGGAGAGCTGGGTGAGTTTGTCTGAGAGAAGGTCAGGCATGATGGTATTGAAGGCCGACATAATGAAAGGGTAACGTGTGTGGAAGCTTCACGGTTTGAAGGAGACCCCATATGAATTGTTTTTGGTTTTACACAATAACTAGCTAGTCTTATGATATTTTTTGGGTGGAAAATACCATGGTAACTAGTTTCCACTAATCTATACAGTTTTATTGTGTTGGTTATCTCAGTTATTTTATTAAACTCATTTTTTGCAGACTTGTCTTTAACAATAAAATATTTCCAACTACAAAAATATTTAGATATTTATAAACATTAAGTCAGAAGTTTCTAGAAAAGAATATTGTCATTCGCTACAGCTTTTGCCATATAAGACAGTGGTTCCCAACCCTGGTCCTTGAGGCACCCCAACACTGCACATTTTGCATGTCTCCCTTCTCTGACACACCAATTTCAGGTCTTGGAGTCTCTACTAATGAGCTGATGATCTGAATCAGGTGTGTTTGATTAAGGAGACATGTAAAACATGCAGTGTTGGGGTGCCTCCAGGACCAGGGTTGGGAACCACTGATACAAGACACCTGTATTACGCTATCTGCCGCCTTCGAGAGCTTACAGCTGAATCCAATTCGTTCATAATTGACGAATTTTGCAACATCGAACTGAATTTGAATCAACATTGAACAGACTCGTGCTGAATAACGACAAGGCTGGCTTCTGTAGAGCTATTTACAGTTGAATTGAACTTGATTTATAACAACAAAATTGGAATGTGTCTCATATTTGAATACGTTTGCATCATTAATTTTGTTGTAGTAACTTGATTTGACAATTAATAATTAATGACGATACATATTTGACATTTCTGTTATTATTATTTCTATTTTATTTCCCCGTAGGAACTTATTATTATGGAACTTTTACTAACAGTCACGTTTCCGCCCGGACCAAAACGTCATCAGGAAGCGCGGCGGGCGGTGTTAAAAACAAACGTACACATGTCGCAAGAAGAGATTTCAGCCGCCTTCAGAACAGAAACAACGCGTTTTGATTGTCTATCATAGTAATATTCCACCGACCATTTGAGGAGCAACTGCCACCAGTAAGATCCCCAAATATTTTAATACTATACATTGCCTAATTGTGTTGACACTTGCTGAACAGTGTGATCCTCTTTCATTAATTCCATATTGAGAGTCTGATGGTGGCCTATAGTTGATGTATTTCTCATGCAGGTATGCCGAGCAGCTGTCCCGAGTGTGGCTCATCTAATGTGGTGGAGGATGATCTGTACTCTCAGAGGCAGTGGGTGTGTGTGGACTGTGGATCAGTGGTCTCTGAGGGACATCTGACCACCACAGTGAGCGATGAGACCCAGGGCAGAGGTAACCAAGCACGGGACACTTCGCTTTCATCTGATCTTAGTTCAGTCTGCTTGAAAACTGCTGGTTTGACATCCACTTCTTTTGTTTTGTCCAGCTGTGCCCTATCATGCTTCCACAGAGGTGTTAAAGAAACCGTGTAGAAATCTAATTGCTGGTAAGATCAACAGCTCATAATATTTGACAAACTAGTTAAGTTATTAAAATGTTTGGCGCTTGCTGTCAGGTCCAGCGAGTGGATTTTTGTTATGAAAACGTCTCTTTCTGGTATCCTAGTGTACATGTATGTCACTGTGTTATTTATGTACTATTACAGTATTTATTAATATTTTGAATCAGCCTTTGTTTTTATTGACAAAATGAGAAAAAAAATCCAGAAAATCACATTGTAGGATTTTTTAAGAATTTATTTGCAAATTATGGTGGAAATTTTATTACAATTTAGCTGCCTATTATTGGTTAGCTGAAATAATGTTAGTTCTATTTATGGTTAATGGAATATTCACCCAAAAATTAAGATTTGCTGTAAATGCGTCCACCCTCGGGTCATCCAAGATGCAGATGAATTTGTTTCTTCATCTGAACAGATTTGGAGAAATGTAGCATTACATCACTTGCTCATCAATGGATCCTCTGCGGTGAATGGGTGCCGTCAGAATCTAAAGAGTCCAAACAGCTGATAAAAACATCACCATGATCCACATGACTCCAGTCCATCAATTTATGTCTTGTGAAATGGAAAAACTTTTTTTTTTTTTAAGAAACAAACTGATATTAATGTGTTTTAATTTTAAACCATCATCACTTCTGGTCAAAATATGAGTTCATAATCCATAATCATGCTTCCTCCAGTGAAAAAGTCCATCTTCTGTTGTCCTCTCGCATCATATCCACTGCAACATATTTGTTTAGACATGTTTTGAACAGTTTTTCACTTGCAAACGGTGTTTGGTCTGTGCATATTTCTCTCCTAATTCAGCTGCTATAACTTTTTCAATAGAGAAAGCAATATTGTAGATTGAGGACTGTATTTTAGTCTGAAGAAACAGTTTGAAGTTAAAAACATGTTAATGATGAATTCTGACTTATACTTTCATTCTGACGGCACCCATTCACTGCAGTGGATCCATTGGTGAAGAAGTGATGGAATGCTACATTTCTCAAACTTATCTAAATCTTGGATGGCCTGAGGTTGAATACATTTTAAGCTAATTTTATTTTTTGGGTTAACTATTCCTTTAAACACACACAATAAATAAAATTAGAAAAGTTTCAGAAATAAAAATTTTATTCATTTAATATTTTATTTCAATTATGAAAATGACAGTGTATTTGTCAGTTTAAAATGTTCCTCTCTTTCCAGGCTTTTCTCGGGTCCGTGCGCTATGCCGTATCCTCCGGTTATCCAGCGATATGGAGTCGGCAGTAGTGAGTCTCTTTGAGCGTGCGTACAACCACCCGAACTTCATCTTTGTGACCTTAACCAAGAAAGAGATCTTGGGAGGCTGTTGTGTACTCTCCGTCTGTCGCCAATGCAACTGGCCTGTTGCCATGGGAACCATTGGTTACCTGTTGGGGGTGGACAATGCAGCACTGGGCACTGTTTATCGGGAGTTTACAAAGGCTCTGAACATTGAGATCAGCACTATCGGCATCATGGACATGCTGGAAAGCTTCTGCTATGAGTATGTCTAACGCTTTTATGACTTGCACAATATTTTAGTTGATGTAAAAATCAGATTGTTCACTTGCGGTGTTTTTGTAGTTTCAAGCTGGGTCCTCAACAGGTGGAAGAGGTGTTTGCTGAACCCGCCCAACGGCTGGTGGACCGGACGTCTGCTTTGATTGAACTAGCCGCTGATGCCTGGATAGTGACAGGCCGCCAGCCTTTGCCCCTCCTCTTTGCAGCAGTGTATTTGGCCTGGCAGTCGCTAAATCCTACGGTGAGTGACGTAGCCTAATATTCTAATAAATGTGTCACGTCAGTGATTAACACTGAAAGTGAGACACTTCTGATCAAAGATGAAATCTGCAATTTTGCAGTTTGCAAAAGTTACACACAAAAGTTGAATAAATCCTGTTCTTTTGAGCTTTCTAATCAAGGAATAGACCGCACAACTGCTTTCAACATTGATAATAGTAATAAATGTTTCTTGAGCGGCCAATAATCATTAGAATGATTTCTGAAGGATCATGTGACACTGAAGACTGGAGTAATGATGCTGAAAATTCAGCTTTGCATCACAGGAATCAATTATATTTTCAAATAGAAAAGTTATTTTGAATTGTTGTAATATTTCACAAAATTACTGTTTGCTGTATTTTTGATCAAATAAATAGAGCCTTTGGTGAGCAGAAGAGACTTCTTTCAAAAGCATTAAAATATCTTACTGACACCAAACTTTGAACGATAATTGTCAGATGTTGAAAGTATCGAACAAGTGTTGAGTTGTTCTATCATATTTACAATAATTCCGTCAAAAACAGCATAACTGAAAACGATGCATAAATTCTTCCTTGCATAAATTGTTTTGGTGTATACATTCTTGCATCTGATTAACCTATAGCTTGCTTTACACTGCTAATTATGTTTTTATTCTCATGTGCAGCTGACAAAAAATAAGACATGAGTGTCATGACAAATAGAAAGTGAACATTTTATTTTACGCAAACCAGAAACATTTACTTCAGAGTCATTTTTACATATTTCATATCACAACAGGGGAAAAAAGTGTAAAAGCAATGTGCTTTCTCATTAAAACAACTTTTTGGTTCTTTATATATATATATATATATGTCATTAGTCAGTGTAACTTATCTGCTATTTAATGCCAAGCTTAATCATTACACATCATTTTGATATTGTAAGGGAAAATGTTTTCCCTGCTGGTGAGTTTGCCAAATGTTGCGTATGGGTTGACGGGTAACATAGTTGACAATTTCACCATTTTGACTCTGGCAGGTTTTGTCTGGCCAACCAAATGTTATTTTCTTCACCAGATTTTATTTTCTTCAACCTTGAATTTTAATATCTATTTGAATTTAAAATCATACAAATATTGCCAACCACAACAATACCCAATATAGTTGATGGGGAGTGTATATACTCCTTGACAATAGGTCGTTGGCGATAAAATATAGAACATTTACCATAATGTGTTCACAATTGTCCACAGCAGAAGAAAACCAGTATCACATGCTGGTCTTGTGCTTTTAAAAAAAATATATTACCCCTTAATCGCCAGAAAAACTGCCACAAACACATGATTCCTACAACCTGTTCAGTTCTTAGCTGATTTTCACATGTATGACATTTTATGCCTAATCCTGATTTCAAGGTTCGAATTATGGCTAGAGACCAAAGAAAATGCAGACGTTTTCTCCAACATCTGTGGGTGTTTTACTACATCTAGATATAGATTTATATATTTAAAAAAAAAAACTTGTAAGTTCTTTGACATGGCGTATTTGATCATATTTTTCTACTCCTTTGCAGAATGGAAATGATAGTTTTTTTTTTTTCCCCCCATTCTGCAAATGAGTTGAAAATTATAACACTCATCGTGACCGCCATAGTCATTCCTGAGACATGGAGCAAAACAGGCCCAGCAAGGGTAACTGCTACTAGGTTTAAAAATAAAAATATTTTAAATGTCATGAGGGATTAATAATAGAATGTATTTAACACAATTATCACCTTCAATTTAAAGCAGGTTCCATTAGCATCTAGCACCAACAGAAAAAAAGAAAATGGCTACTTCATGAACTCCATTGGTTTTGTGAAAGAAATGCCAAATTTGTCAACCCCGTCAGATGTCACCACCATAAGATTGTGTTCCAATGATATATCAAAATACTTCAATGTGACTTTTGAATAAAAGCTTTATAAACAATAACATACTGTTGTGTTTGTTTTAATACAGTAATTTACTGATTCAATGTATTTGATTGTTAAAATGACTACAAATGCAGGTTTTCGTCACCTCCGTCAGTTGAATATTTTGATAATATTTCATTATGATATTTTATGTTTGTTGTGGAATTGTCGGTCACATGTGAAAGTGTAAT